TAATGGGTCTGGTGCCCTCTTCTGGCCTGCAGGCATACACACAGAATATTGTATACATAATAAATAAATAAATAAATAAATAAATAAATAAATATTTAAAAAAAAAAGAGATCTGAAAAGTGATAGCACATACTGTATGAAAATCTGGATCATGACTTCACCAGAGCGAGAACTGTCGAGTCAGTTAGGATCCATTTAAATCGATCACTTTTAGTGAGACTGTGTCTTAGATAGCCCAGGCTTTCCTGAAGTCACTATGAAGTTAGTGATGGCCTTGATCCTTCTACCTCTTCCTTCTGAATGCTTGATTACAGGAAAATACAAACACAGCCCACTAAATTTTTTCATGGGCATGTGAACACAGGAAAAGAGGCAGAAGAAAAAGCCAATGAAACTCCAACCCAAGCAAATCCCAGGTTCTGTTAAGCCCCCTTAGATTAAAATCCAATTATTAAAAATACAGACTTCTTTCCACAGTTCTATTTCACAGTCCTGAGCATTCGTATCCACTCCAGTGTGTGACTAACTTGCCCCTTCCTTTGTTTTGTTTTGTTTTTGTTTTGAGATAGCATTTCTCAGTGTAACCACCCTGGCTGTCCTGAAACTCACTCTGTAGACTGTGCTGGCCTCAAACACACTGAGATCCACACGCCACTGCCTCCTGAGTGCGGGATTAAAGGCATGTGCCACCACCACCTAGCTTCCTAATGTCCATGTTAAATGGCCCATCATTTTAGGTGACCTCTTCAAGCCACTTGGTCTGACATCCAATTCTGGGTTACCTCAGGAACAATGATTTGAACTCCAGCTCGAGACAAACCCTCAGGCCCCAGACTGTTATCCCAAGAAGGTCCTGCTTTTAAGATAGTCTTTGGTTGGCATCTGTAAATGAAGATTTAAAGCTAAATTACCCCTATGTATCTCCTAACAAATGGTTTCACTGTTGTTGGAGAAATTAAAGGCAGATGTGGAGTCTTAAAACCCGCATTTTACAGATTCTGGGGCTCAGTGAACGTGTCTGGTAGCTGTTGACTATGGAGAAACTGAGGCATCACATTTTCCCCGTTTCTCTCATGCATTCTTCTTCTCTTCTGTACTTCAAGTCACAAGTACTGATACGGTCCTACCTGTCTCAATCCTTTTCTGTCCTGTACTCTTGTTCTGTCTGTATCACTGGCTTAGCATTAAAAACATTGGATAGAAAAAACGAAAAGGTACCAGGTGTAGTGATGCACACCTTTAATCCCAGCACCTGGGAAGCAGACGCAGGTGGCAAGTTCCAGGACAGCCAGGACTACACAGAGAAATTCTGTCTCAAAAAACATGACACGTGTTTTGTTTTTTTTTTTGTTTTTTTTTTTTTTTGGCCAGGTTTTTCTTTGGTTTTGTTATGTTTCTCTGTTGAATATTAGGGTCTATTGTCTCTTTTTGTAAATTAACATGTTCAAGGCATCTGCTGTTCATTCCCCAAAGGGGGTGATATGAGAATCTGTTTCCATTTATTCTGATTGTAGATCACATAACTTTTTTTTTGGATACTTGGCGTCTGTTTTCTTGTAAAGAATATTGCCTATTCTGAATCTACACTATTAAAAGTATAATCATGGTACTGTGAAGATACTTTAAATTGCGAAGAGTTTCTGTTTACTTTGTCTCTAGGTTTCAATTTTTAGTTTGCTTTTTTGAGACAGGGTTTCTCTGTGTAGCCCTGGTTGGCCTGGAACTAGCACTTATAGACCAGGCTGGCCTCAACTCACAGAGATCTGCCTGCCTCTGCCTCCCAGAGTGCTGGGATTAAAGAAGTGCACCATCACTGCCTGGCTTCAATTTTCAATTTCAAAACTATCCCCAAGCAGTTTTCTTGTGTACACTTTGCTTGTCTTTGTGTTGTTAGTTTTGTGAGACAGGTCTACTGAGTAGCCCTCCCCGGATGGCCTGGACTCTTTGTACAACAGGCTAACCTCAGAACTAAAGAGTTTGCTCACTTTTTGCCTTTTGGGTGCAGGGATTAAAGACATTCACCATCATGACAGGCTTATTGTCTGTTTTGAGATAGGCTTATTGTCTGTTTTGAGATAGGGTCTAAGAAACCCACGCTGGGAAAAACAAAAACAAAACAAAACAAAACAAAAAAAAGAAACAAACAAAAAAAAAAAAAACCCAGGCTGGAGTTTCTTAGTAATTTCAATGGAATTTAACCAAAATAGGCCTTGAATTGGCAGTTGTCAACCACCCAAGGCCTGGGATTACAGGAATATGCTCAATTTGATCAATTCTTTGGACTTTGCTATCTGCTGGGTTCCTTTGAATATCCTGCTAGATAAGTAAAATTTTAGAAAGTACCAATGATTTGAAAGGAATCAAAATGTGTAGTTGATGTGGGCTAACTTATCCCATGCCTTTCCAAGATTTCTGTTCTCATTTCCAGCTGTCTCAAAAGCCTGAGATACCTCTTCAACTGAACAAGTAGCTACCATTTTGCTTGAATTTTACTTTCAAATGAACTGCACAAGCTGGAAACTGACATATAAGAGAGCTCTTCAAACACTGGGATTTTTGTCACTTCTGACTAGTTTGCGTTGCTCTTCAGAGCCTTCCGGTCATTGTTATGTATATTTTGTTCAGAGTTTATTACCATAAGAGTTACAAAAGACTCCATCAAATTGCAACCTCTGAAATATCAAAGATTCAAA